GGAGCGCCGCCGCACTTCCCAAGTGGCGCACTGTAGCAGTGAGCCCCCGGGCCGGCCCCAAACCATATTTTTATATTCAACTTGGATAGGCATTATTATAATAGCAACTTCTGGGGCCGAGCCCGTGGCGCACTTGGGAGAGTGTGGCTCTGGGAGCACAGCAGCGCTCCCGCCGCAGGTTCGGATCCTATATAGGGATGACTGGTGCGCTCACAGCGCTCACTGGCTGAGCGTGGTGCGGCCGGTCTCAAAAGGACACACACACACACACAAAAATAATAGCAACTTCTGGAAAATCTTTTGGGGTCAGGACTGTAGATTTCTATACATACATACATGTAAAATGGGATGTTTTTGTAACCTCAGGAGCTAAACACCATTGAAATTTGAAAATTCACCATGGCATGCAGAAATCCAATCCTCCACAATTTGTGTAACAAGTCAGTGGGAAACAGGAGCCCCTTTATTCTTAACATAGTTAAGGGTTTGTGAGTACAAAAAAGGAGTGTTATTTTGTTAATAACTAAACGAGTATTTTTTTTTATCGTTAATGAGATATTGATTGTGTGAAGAAGAACTTTTGGAAATCACTGTACTTGAAAATTAGGTTAAATAAAAAATGGTGATGGAGACTTGTAAGACCTCACCACAGGTTCTCTATTTTAGGTGTCAAAATGGTGCTTTTTTAACATCAAAAGGTAAAAAGACTCAGTCATGCTGTGGCCCACCATGATTCTGCACAAGAATAAGCATAATGTACTCTTTACAGATATGTGTTTGTGTAGCTAAATCTTGGATAATGCTGGAGTTCCAGGACAGGAATGGGATGGGTCTAAGCCTGTCTTTTGTATGTTAATGTGCTTTCACAGCAAATGTATGCGAATTAACAGACTGAAGTATTCTTGAAGACATTTATCTCCTTACTGCCTTGTGATGGATTGTTCAGAGCTAAAGGAACACCAGGCTGGAACCAAATCTCCTGCTGCCCTATATAGTTTTTACAATCTCCCTTTAAATAACACAAAGTCAGGGCAGTCTCACTGCCAGACCAGCACTTTTTCAGCAATCTTTCCATAGTACAACAGGATAAAACCATCTCTAATACAAATCAACACTATTATTTTCAAAGTAAGCAGTTTAAAAGGTTGCTTGAACAAGAATAGACAAATTTTCTGAGCTGTTTGCTATTTGGCAGTTACTGTAAGATTACACCGTGAATTGCATTGCACTGAATGTTACATTTTATTCAGAGGCATTTTAAGTTGAACTGGGTAAACAGTGTAGATGTTTGATTAATGTTAATATGTAAGATTTCATGATTAGGTATGATTGTTCTTTTAAATTACCACAGTCTTTTTTAGTATTCTTCCTTTGATCTCTAACAAACTGTGAGAACAAAATTTGTAATTTAAAATATATTGACTTTGACTCAGAAATTCATTTTCCTGTTGCATATTTATTGATATCTAAAATACATAGTTAGATGGTAAAATACTTTTGTCTGGAAAATATGATGCCAACTTCTCTTTCTTTTTCAAATTGTGCCTAATGCCATTTTCTTTTTTAAATTCTTGAATTTGAATTTAAGGTAGGGGACCTTTAACCAATATTTAATGCAAACTTCTAAGAGATAGCAAGGAAATTGACCTTATGAGGTAATTGCACTTAAATGATCATAGCTGAACTTGTATTCATTTTCTTGTTTTGACATTTTGATTCCTTTTGTTTTTTCTTGTAAGAATGGGATAGGTACCACCTTTTTTGTTCGTTTTTCAGTATATAGAATCATTACTACAGAGTTTATGTTCTTCTATTTCACTACCAATTTTTGAAAAGAGATTTTCTGCTATTGAATTCTAATTTTGCGTATGTGTGTTGATTAATTCTGTAGTTACTTTAAGTGATTGAAGACTATCAATAAAGGGGAAATTTCTCACATAACTTTCAGTATTTTTTAAAATATACTTTCCGGTGACATACTACTGATTTTGACAAGGCCTGCTTCCACTTAAGTATGTATAAAGTCAGCAGGAAAATTTTTCAATAATCTAATGATCAGTTATTTTACCTGTCATCTCCCATCAAATCATGATTTTCCTATGGTAGTCTTTAACTGATTCTAGCCACTATTAATATATTTCTGTAGCTTAGAAAACATCTAGTCATCACTCTATTTTAGCTTGTTTGTACTAATGATTTATTTTTATTTCCTCTAGGATATAGACCCTCAGCTAACTGGATTTAATTTATAAGAGGGATATCTACAGTCAATGGCCACTCTCACCACCTCGCTACTATGGAAAACAGAATGGTCAATAGGATATGCTCTGATAAATGGTAATGATTGAAGATGCTGCTTCAATACCTGTGAAATCAATGGGAAATACTTGCTGCATGAAGAGCTTTCTGAGCTTTTCGCGACAAGCTCACCTTTAAGGAATCAGAGTCATATTCTACCATTATAAGGTCTTTCTCGAGTGGATATAAATACATTTGTCTCATTGTAACCAGACAACCAGGCAACTAATGTGGGACCATGGCACTGCCCAGGTGCACATGGCCAACTTATGTTTGGAGAGCAGTGATGGCATGCTTGGTACACAGGGGACTGGGTGCCTCCTTGACTCTCTGTATGTTGGGATGTTTGCTTCAGGCTGCCCATGTGCTCTCACAGAAATTGGATGATGTGGACCCTCTGGTGACTACCAACTTTGGCAAGATAAGAGGAATTAAGAAAGAACTCAATAATGAAATTTTGGGGCCTGTTATTCAGTTTCTCGGGGTTCCGTATGCAGCCCCACCAACAGGGGAACATCGTTTCCAACCTCCAGAACCACCATCTCCCTGGTCAGATATCAAGAATGCCACTCAATTTGCTCCTGTGTGTCCCCAGAATATCATTGATGGCAGATTGCCAGAAGTCATGCTTCCTATATGGTTTACTAATAACTTGGATGTGGTTTCATCATATGTACAAGACCAGAGTGAAGACTGCCTGTATTTAAACATATATGTCCCGACTGAGGATGGTGAGTTTATTACAGGAAAAAACAGGGAGATATATTTACACTTTCCTTTTTTATTCTAAGTTCCAACAATATTAATTCATGTGTACTGGTAGTATGCATGGCTTTTCCTGTTGGCATGTAGACATATTTTACCTGCGTGCATGCTACTCTTTTTGTTTATGTATGTCATTGTATCTGTTCTTGTTTTTTTCCTGCGCCTACTCATTTTTTTTNAGGTTTTGGGGCCGACACAGAAGAGGACTCCTGAGAGCACCCAAGCCCTGCTGCGGGAACAGGCGAGCAGCCCAGACAACAAAGGCCAAGAAAGCCAGCAGAAATGGAGTGAAACGTGCCGGGCCGGCCCAACTCTGCGAGCTCTGTGAGTCACCCCCAGCCCAGCCCCACTTGCGGGGTCAAGCCCGACTGCTCCTCACCCGCCTGGCTCCTGCCTACCACACCAGGCTAGGCGCCCACAACAGAGCTGCCTCCATTGTCTCGAGTGGGGGCGGAGTCGGCCGGCTTAGTGAGGGCAGGCCAGCCACCTTTGCTTGGTGCGGCTCCGCACTGAGACGAGCCATTTGCTTACCTCAACACAGGGCACCCCGGGGCCTGTGGACAGGCCTACAATCCCACTCTCCCCGCAGATCTCTGATGGGGCTGGTAGCGTGGGGAGCCCCCGGCCAGCGTTGGGGGGGCAGGGAAGAGGTGCCAACCCAGATCGTCTCTCCGCCACACCCTGGGTGTCGGCCCCAGATAAACTCCCTCTTCCCGAGAGGCAGATTCCATCTCTGGGGACCTCAGTTTGGAAGAGC